TTTTTTTTTAAAGACATTTCCTATTGAAAGAAAGACTCGAAATTGCACGACACAAATATTAGAACTCGAAATTGCTCCAAACAACTACACTAGTTGAGCCTTTGCAACTTCATTCATTTATAAATAGAAGAATTGACTAGCTCTAGATTATAAAAAATTCTAAATTAGCTCCCCAACCTATATGACAGTTTAAGCAACACTGAATGCGCACGTCTAACACAAGGAGACAAGAAGAAAGAGAGAAAAAGCCCTCAAATGTCTTCCATGACTATTGAAAATTGATCAAGTCAATAAAAGCTTTATCCTCTTTTGCAAGTCTGAAATACATTGTTGACTGAAACAAGCTACAATAGAAAAAGCCAGACGCCACCGGCCTTATCCACAGGAACAACAACAGCAACAAAACAATGCACAGCAGAAGGAGCAGAAAAACAAGGCAGCACACAGAGACAGCAGCAGAAGAAGCAAAATTGGTAATGAATACTTGCAAGTCATACATCTCCAAACAAAACTTCTGCATGTACAGCAATTTAGAACTCAAGACATATGATTTGATATGAAACTAGTCAGACAGTTCCTTGGAAGTTGGAACAACTGGAACAAGATAATTCCCAAAGGGTGAATCAAAGATCCTAAAGTTTCCAGTGGCACCATCTTGTTGTGCTTGTGCCACTGCAGCATTTTTGGCCTGTTGAACCCTCAAATTGACTCCAGGACTTATAGTTTGAGCCTCTTGAACCTGCAGACACAACTCTTTTTACCCTCATAATTTACTAGTTATGAAAACATGGGCAAGGAGATTGATGAGTAAAAAATTTCTTACTGTTGTTACTGAGGTTGCTCCAACTCTGCTCTTCTTCTCAACTGGTGCAGCAACATTAACCCCACTGTATAATTACACAAGCCCACTTAGAGGCCTTTCATTATTCAAGGGAGCTGATTTCCCCACTCCCCTTTTCAACACTTACACTCCCTTTTATTTTTTAATACATTTTAATCAATTTGGTTATTTTTATTCTTTCCCTTTCCTATTTTACCCTTATTCTGT